AAGAAGTCAGAAAAGCTTTGGAGAGCATGCAAAGAGGCAAAGCTGCTGGTGAGGATCAGGTAACATCAGATCTGCTGAAAGATGGAGGACAGATTGTGTTAGAAAAACTAGCCACCCTGTTTATGAGGTGTCTCCTGACGGGAAGAGTACCAGAGTCTTGGAAGAACGCTAACATCATCTTAATACATAAAAAAGGAGTTGATAAGGACTTGAAAAATTTCAGGCCGATTAGCTTGCTCTCTGTAGTATACAAGCTATTTACAAAGGTAATAGGTAACAGAGTAAAGAAAACATTAGAATTCAATCAATCAAAGGAACAAGCAGGATTTCAAATGGGCTACTCAACAATCGACCACATTCATACTATCAATCAGGTGATAGAGAAATGCTCAGAATATAACCAACCACTATACATAGCCATCATAGATTACGAGAAGGCGTTTGATTCAGTAGAAATATCAGCCGTCATGCAGACACTGCGGAATCAGGGCATCGATGAAGTATATATAAACATCCTGGAAGAAATCTACAGGGGATCAGCTGCTACCATAGTGCTTCATAAAGAAAGCAACAGAATACCAATCAAGAAGGGTGAAAGGCAGGGGGACACAATCTCCCCAATGCTATTTACCGCGTGCTTACAGGAGGCTTTCAGAAGCCTAGAATGGGAACAGTTAGGGATAAGAGTTAATGGAGAATACCTTAGTAACCTGCACTTTGCCGATGACATTGCATTGCTGAGTAACTCAGGGGACGAATTGCAACTCATGATTACGGAGTTAGACAAGGAGAGCAGAAACGTGGGTCTTGAAATGAATCTACAGGAAGCGAGAGTAATGTACAACCTCGGAAAAGAGCAGCGCTTCGAGATAGGTAATAGTGCACTTTAAGTTGTAAAAGACTATGTCTACTTAGGGCAGGTAATATATCTATGCGTCATAGCGAGGTTCACTAATGATGCGAGTGTAGAGATATCGTAGCTGACAAGCACACAGCGAGTGAAGGTCATGAAGCTTCCTGCGCCAACCGACGATGGCTTCCTGCAAATTCGAAACTTGAAGGTCCAACCGCATGCATGCAATTTTCGAGTGACGACGACAGGATTCGCTGTCGCTATGGATGTCGCAAAGGGCCATTCGTCGCCATCACGTCGCAGGTTTCTGTAAAACCAGAAAGAAATCGCTTGTCGCCCAGAAAGAAATCATGACTGTTTCCGCAACATGGTCCCCGATTCTCACTTCGGTTGCAAGCGAGAATGCCGCCGTATCTTGCCATTAACCTTGTTACTGACAGTTTGTCTTGATGCTTCAGTGGTAGCTTGCTGCACTGTTGGTTGCTTGCTGCAATGTCAACAGCATCGTCGCCTTGTCGTGCGAGGTTGTCACGAAGTTGGCAAAGTGCGTTGTGGCGTTGTAGGGCACGCTTCTGGCGCCGTAGAGATCACAACAGATAATACTGTTGCGGTTAAACGATTGCGAGAAAAGATAGTCACGAAAGGCTTTTATGGCATGCACAGGCGGCGCAGGAACAGCTTGCAGGAGATAGCGCCTTCAACCACCAATAAAGAAGCTTAGCGACATAACTTTTTTTCCATTACCGCATTTTTTCGCTCATACCGAAAAAGTTTTCATAAAATTTTCCCTGCATAATAAACGCAATCCCAACTTTGCCCTGATTTTCTTATAAAGAACAGTGAGTTCATTACGTGAGTAAATATGCTATTTGCTAAAAACCCCTCACACGCATTCTTCCTCACATGCTTATTTTTCCCCTTAGGGAAATCTTCTTGGTTTCACTGCGCATGCCTCGTGCACCTACAGTGATGCTAGCTGCGCTAATAGCGCCAAACTGACACCAATTGCCCTGGCTGCTACACGCTACTACGTTTCTTCCACATTTGGCAAGCCTGTGCCCAACCTGTGCCAAAGGGCGAGCTCTGACTTTCAAAAACGAAACTACTTGAGGTTCTCCCGTTGAAAATGACATCGCGGTGCACCTGCGTAAAACGCAACCTGTGCCAAGCCAAGCCAAACTGGGCCAAATGTCACTGTTGAAACCATGGATGGTTGGGACGCAATGAATGCCCATTTTTTCAGACTTTCTAGGGACCGGGAAATGGTCCGAAAAAAGATTCATGACTTTTTATTCTGCTCAAGTAATCAAATCACCACAGCCCCATCTGAAATAGCTTCAATGCCTTCAAGCACATTGTAATTTTATCATTCGTGTGTCATGAACACATAAAAAAAACGTCGGGAAGGAGTGAATGAAAAAATCCGTAAACAGAGGTGTTGTCAGGCCGACGTTTCAACTAGCAGACTCAAGGCTAAAACGGAACAGTTTTGTTTTGAGGAAGACAAGACTGCTGGTAGGAATGTCGGCTCTACACGGCTCTATGCAACACTTGTTTACAAATTTATTTGTGAACACTATAAGTGCCTAAAAATTGACTCTAGCAATATCTGCTCCGAAATCCAGTTTCGCTGCCCCGCCGTGGTGGTCTAGTGGCTAAGGTATTTGGCTGCTGACCCACAGGTCGCGGGATCGAATCCGGGCTGCGGCGGCTGCATTTTCGATGGAGGCGGGAATGTTGTTAGGCCCGTGTGCTCAGATTTGGGTGCATGTTAAAGAACCTCAGGTGGTCGAAATTTCTGGAGCCCTCCACTACGGCGTCTCTCATAATCATATAGTGGTTTTGGGACATTAAACCCCACAAATCAATCAATCAATCCAGTTTCGCTGCTCCAGAACGCATTTTTGTTTGCCCCAAAAGCTGCTTCAAAGCAGCTTAAGCCAATAGCACCAGTGACCTAGCTTGGAGAGTCTTTTAGTGTTCTCAGTTTATGAGATGTTATGCTGGTATTCCTGATGCTTAAGCCACTCTTTTGCTTAAAAGAGAGCATGGACATTTTGTTTTGGTTAGTTGGTTAATGGTGAGCTCACGAACACACCTTCCCGCATGCGCGACTGACTGGTTGTGAACAGCTGACAAGTGGCTCTATCAGTAATGTATCCTTCAAATGCAAATAACTTTTATTTTTATTAATCACCAAGTTATGACTATTGAAGTAAAGCTAACAAATTATTGTAGTGAATAGTAACGACTCTTTCTCATTGACAAATTTTCATATGAAATGAGACATTGCAACAAAACAACCATTGTACATTATGTCATAGCACATTTGTAATTGTTATGTAAAGTACAGGCACTCCTTTATAATCATAAGTACATACATACAACTACACAGGGAGGGAACTGCATTGGGCTTTAGCTTCTTGCGGCCAGCTCTTTCCAGAATGACTGGCTCGAACTCATTGCCCATTAAGTGTTTTTTAAAAATACATTCTCCATATCACCGTCTGCAATTTGTCTAACGAAATATGGGCAAAGTATGCTGCAAAAGATTTTGCTTCCTGCGTAAACAAAAATGCAAACTAAAACAGTATGGCATCCTTGCTCTGGATATGTTCGGGTGTACTTACAGAGCAATTGTGCCCTTAAAACGTGGAACGAAATGATAAAGCACATCGAAGAGCAACAATACAGCAACTGTTTTACAATAATTCTTATTCAACACAGAAAATCGGTTACAAAAGGACTGAGAAATTTTGATTAACTTAAGAGCATGAAAATCGACAGCACAAAAACTAGATCACTTACATGCACCTGAAATGAACATATAGCTCATGATAAAAATAATCAGAGATAAAGAACAAACATGCGTTCAAAATTATAGTTTGTATACGGACCACTTTGTAGCATTGCTAAGTAAGGTGTGCCCATCATACGATGTTACTTACTTGCCATGTCTCTTCCTTTAATGAGTGTATCCCATCACCAACTTCTAGTTATGTAATTTGGCAAAATTATTGGTTAAAAAAAGACTTCCAACTTTCCCAGAATAAGCTTCAATGGCTTGTGACAATTAAATTTCGTAAAATCTACGCCGTGCCAGAGCTGAGTGAAGAAGCAGAGTTCTTGCACAATTTTTTTTTCTGAAACGTTGCAGTAAGTTTTCTCAAAACGATTGATAAATTGCCAACTCTAAGAATCGTGATGTTGATGCTGTTTTCGAGAAAGCGTGACCAGTAATGTCATGCTGTTCTGTTTTGTTTTTTAACTTTAGGACATAAGTATCGAGCCCTAGCTTAATCTGAATGATTTTGATTGCAAAGTATGCATGAAAGTATTTAGTATTGATTGACTAAGCAACAAAGCTTCCCTTTGTGGCAATTTAAGTTGTTTTTCTCGATGTGATAAAACCATATTGCTTGCCATTTGTGATAAAACCATATTGCTTGCCATTTGAGGAACTTAAAAATTTTGTCTCCCTTTGCAATGCTGTTCGAGCAGCCAACAGCGCAGCATGTTGGCATGCAAGTGGCGAAGCAGAGCAGTGGCAACAGCAGAGGGGTCATCCAGGATAGCAAGTCAGGTGTGGGGCCTGGCCCAATAGGAGAGCACAGAAGGACGAAGAAGAGGGGAGAGATGTAGAGGCGGGGAGGAAATTCACCCTTTCTTTTTTGCACAATGGTTTGCGTTACCTTGGAAAAATAGAGAGGTCTTAATTCATGCAGTAAACGGCTGCGCCACCTGTAGGTGCCGCACGTTTCCCAAAATGCTACGTTTATGGTATTAATGCTAGATTGTTAATTTCTGTTTGCTGGCATTTTAAGGAGCCATTGTGAGATGTGGTTTGTTTAGCTGAGATCAATGTACCAGGCTAAAGAGTTCTACTGCATATGAGTGATAACATGCTATGCTGGCACTGATAGTTGTATGTAAGACAGCTGTTGCACTATCTTAAGAGCTTTCTGTTCAGCATAGAATAAAAAATTACATGAGGCATGTGTTATGTTGACTAAAGAATAGGCCATTGTTAAATGAAAATCGTAAGCAATTTGTATAGGGAAGAGCACAAAAACTTTTGAATTCCACAAAGACCAAGCATCCTGTGCAGAACACACTTGTTTTGTGACAGTAGAATTTGTCTCTGCAGTTTGACCAAGCCGTACTGTGTGATGAAGCTGTGCCAGTGTTTGCAAGAAGCATTGACACTTGAGGGTAAGTTGTGGTTATGGCAGCTACTAACTGTCGATCTCTTTTAAAGGGTTCATGCAGTTCAGTTTGAGTGTTGAATCATTATCTTGATAACGAGTACGATAATCAAATTGGAAGAAATTCAATCAGCAAATCATTCCAATCATCAGTAATCATTACCAATCGGGAAAATGCAGCAGTTGCCATGCTTTTCTTTGGAAATTGCACCAAAATATATGTAGTAACAAAAAAATACTTTTCTTCAGTTCAGCCAGAGTATTCTGGCAGTGAGTCTTGCTCGTACCCGGAAAAAAAAAGTGCACGCTGGAATCCCGTGCACTCTCCTGTCTGTTACGGACTCCGCCTCCAGCAGAATTTGCACCCTCTCGCTGTAGCCGGGCACGTGATGTTGGGGAGCGCGGCGATTGGGACAGCCGGAGAGAAACGAGCCTTGCTGCTTCCATCTTGGAGGCCATGCCTGCCCAAAACTAGTTGCAGCAGCCGGTCAGCGGTAGTGCCAAGCAGACTAAACATGCTCCGCTGTTCCCTCTGTATGGCAGATCACCTCGCATGGTTAAACATAAAAACTTTTGAGCACAACAGCAAGGAATCGCTATCCATTGAACCAGCTTGTTGTTGGCAAAAAGATTTGTGAAAAAGTTAAAACTTCAGCATGGCAAAGTAGGTCAACACCTTCGAATATTCAATAAATACGACATCAACCTGTTTTCGGTTGTTAAAGGAAGAACCGATGTCGTGCGTAAATTTAAGCAGCTGTGTAACACCAGAATAACCAGCACGAAAGCCATGCTGTAATCGTGAAGGTATATTTCGTGTATTTAGGTATTCACAATGAATTTATTAATGATATGCTATAAAAGCTTAGAACTGATAAAAAAGAAAAGATGTCGACCTATAGTTTGGTATTATTTCCTTGTTTCCGAACCTAGTCAAGCCTAGTCAAGCTCGCAGGAGCTTTTTCTTCCCATGCCCTCTACTTGCTAAAGTGGAAAATAAGATGATTGATTGATTGAAATACTGGCACGATGTTTGCTAATTTCAATAGCTGGCGACTGCAGAATTTTTAAAAAGTATTACAGTGAGATAGTCAACACATCATTCTAAATACTAGTTTAGAAACATATGTGGAATGCCGTCTGGACCAGATTCTTTCGAAACTCCAAGATTTAGTATAAGGTTATGTACTCCAGAGGAGCTTAATTCAAGATTAGATACATGGAGCAGGTAGTTTGCTGCATGTGGAAAATGGAGTGATGCCGTTCTTGATAGAAAAAGAAAACAGTTTTAGTAATTATTAAAGGCATTTGCTATAGCATCTGGATTTGAAGAGGATTGGCCATCAAGAATAAACTAACGCATGAACGATGCAGGACTAATCGGCCTCTAGAACCCATATTTATTTTTTTCGTAAGTGTAGCAAAGGCATTGTTAAAGTAGTAGTTTCTAGTCTCTTGATTTAAGATTGTAACTTACTTTTCAGTGCATTAAATGAAGAAGCATTGTCGTTACACTTAGAATAATGATTCTTACATAAGCGCTTCATGCGACGAGTGAGATAAATATCTTTATGGCAGCATGGGTGTCTTCAGTTCCATTTAATATATTTTTGTGGAACATACTCCAATAGGCATTATCATAAGAAGGAGCACATCTACATTGCAAAATTCGCCACAACATTCAAATTCCTCAAAAGATGAGGCTAAAGTGTCTTGTATGGAAGTGTCATCAACTTGAAGGAAGTTCAAAACAGGTTTGATCTCAAGTCTTTGAGAAGAACACGCTAAGTTCGAGGCGACTTCAACAGTTTTATGTTCAGAGAACCCTTTGATGCTTTCATATTTCAGACCCCGATAAGAGCACGCAGTCCCTCAACGAACTTAGGCTGCACCTAACCTTTTTTCATCTTATATCTCAAAACTGTAAAAAGCTACTGTATGGGAATTCGGCTGCTCCCGGAAAAAAAAGCATAGTTCGCACAGTGCTAACATAGCGTGTAAAGGGGCACACGAGTTGTTTGATGATGCTTGCGGAAAGATCCCGTGCTACAGTAGCATGCGCGGGAAATATCCCGCGCATGCTAGCACTTGCGACCCTGCCCTTATAATCAAAGTTCACAGTTGCGGATTAAGCCACACAGCCTCCTACATGTGTATCTCTTCATACTTCTTCGTCCAGCAAAAAACAGACAGTGCTTTCTTTCCGGTTGAGGAGCAATCGACAGTAGGCATCGCGGGGGAGTGATGTTATCGCATGTGCCCTCCGCGCAGTATGCTTCAGCAGTGTTCTTTGCTAGTGCTTGCGAGAATTTATCCACAGGAACAGCATACAGTGAGCATACAAAAAGTAATTGATTGGGACTTAACAAGGAACATGACTGTGAGAACGAAAGCCTGTAGAAGACAGCGAAGATGAATGCCTGTAGAAAGTGTCCCTATAATTTTTCTCGGAATCGAAAAATATACAAAAACCGTCCAAGGGGGTGGCCTTTTGTATGGAAAGCTACGTTGTCTTCACAGTGAAGAACTTGTCTGTTGGGAAAATGAAATGAATTGGTGCCTTTTCCTTCATTTTGGTTCTTCATTACACTGCACTATACTCCTTTCACTACAATTCTTGAGGCTGTTTGACATTAATGTCTTCATAAAGCACGTTGGCAATGTGAGTGCTAAGGGTTTAGCCTATCAAAATTTCGAGCTTTTATTTTCGAGCGCTGTTATTTCCACTTGCGCAATAAGACAATAAGAAACTTACAAAATGCAGCGAAATCACAAGTTCATCGCGCATGATAATCGTGTGAGACATGAGAGAGAGAGAGAACCTGGAGAGAGGGAGTCATGGCACAGCAGAGTTGAAAAGAATTTACAAGTGATATTTCTCGTATACGAACTATATTAGAGTATGTGCACCAATCATGTCACGTGAATCACCATTCTTGCATCACGAACGGTACCAAAAGAATGAGAGACATCAAAAGACAATAACACGCTCGACTGTGGTACTTCAGAAGTTGTTTTAAGGCCCTTATATGGGCAGGGTATGCAAACACGAACACATGAGAGCAGTAGAGACACCACAAATGCCGCTATGAGGAATCTTAAAGCTGCAGAAAAGAAGGTGAAGTTGTGTATTTTGTGCCCAGATTCCCTGCTCGAGCAGTGCGCCGCATTTATTGTGTGGTGGCGGCATGGTTTCTCTCGGAACTTCTGCGGCAGGACGAACAGCATGAGCAAAAACGAGTGGTGGCGCACAGTTCTACTAGCAGCGGTTATTAACAGAATTGCAGGGCAGTGCCGGTACAGTAGATGCTGAGATGCCATGTGGCTCCTGCACAGCAACAAAGCTTACCCCGATAATGAAACTTTCCTAGTAGGCTTTTTCATGTGCTCCTGTTGATGGGTTGGGAATAAATTCCTATTTGTGAGGACAAAAAGGAATATCTGCCGAAGTGGGGTCGCCTATTGCCGGGAACCTCCTTCCTCGTTGGAAGGATTGCCAGACGGCAACAAGCTCATCAGAAATTTCTGAGCTTAGCAGCACCAAGGCACCTCTCACATTAATAATATTCTAAGTTGACAGCAGAACTCACCTGCTCGGCGCACCGGAACGTCTTGCTTTCAAAACATATGTTGAGGTGCCTAACAACTTTACTGCAATGAGTGACAAACATCTAATGCACGAACTTTTTATTGACAGATAGTACTTTGAAAAGAAATTAGTGATCAGCGTTTGACGAGTACCCTTGAGGGATGCTGTTATCACCTTGCGCTGCACTTCACTCAACTGTAACACTTCAACACTGCAGTTGTCTAGCTGCAGCCGAAAGTATTCCTTCACTTCATCAATGGGGTCAATCACCTGCTGCGAAGTCAGCCTGACTGCGGGGGACTCTTCTTCGTGCTCGCTGTCGTTGTCTGATGACAGCTCAGAACGACCTTCGATCGTAGCTCTCGCCTCCTGTCAGTCGGCTCTTCATTATCAAGGACGTTGTTGTCAAATGTCATGAAGTCGGAGAAGCTGTCTGCCCCAAAAGCCTCCTTGACTTGAGGCTGCTTTCTGAGGGTCATCACCTTAAAATTTGCAGACAGAACAGTCAAGCATGGGAACACAACGACAAAATGGCGTCAGCTAGCTTTGTCCGTGCATGACCAACTGTGGGAGCTAGGAGGAGTGGTGTCCGCATTGTGGCGGCGGAGAGAGAGCGAGAATTCGTCCAGATTGTAGATTGGGTGGCGCAGCTCTCGGCTTCGAGATGCCTTCCTCAGGCGTGCGTGCGCATAGCAGTTGTTTTTTGCTGCTATTTTGCAATACCATGAAGATTAAAACTAAGGCTAGTTGGCACTTGTCTAGCAGCTCACTGCAAAGCATGTATTTGCACCTAAAAATATGTTTTGAACTTGCTTTCCTGTATATTAGCTGCGTGTGCTTTCCTGTATATTAGCTGCGTGTGCCCCCCGCACCTTGAGGCGCTGGAAGATAGACCTGCCGTGAGCTTGGCATCAAAATAATGTTCGTGCAGTTTTCACTTTGGTGTGGCAGTGTTTTCCGTGACGTTTCAGTTCATGTAGAAGCGTCAGCAAACATACTTGACCGCTTCATTTTGTGTAACTTAAACATCGAAAGGCAAAGTGTATTTTGCACAAGCTTTAAAAGTGCATTCATTTTGACACACCCTTACAGTTCAACGGGAAAAACATCGTATATGCATATCAAAATGCGCTCAAGCATCCACTCTTGTTGAGATATCATCCCGTTTGTTTTTATTTGTTTCGATGCTCCAAAGCATTCACGTACCTGCACAATTCCTGCTGGGTAGGCTTTGTAGCTTTTCTTTAAAACCACAGCTACTTCTTTGTTGTCCTGTTGCACCTTTTGTATTGTATCGCTTCACTTAGCATTGCTGCACTTTGGCCGTTGCAGATGCACATTTCTTTCGCGTCAACTTCTGTGTTAGGCTAGCTCTCAACTGTCTCACTCTTGTAGGCTTATAGTACATGACATCTCTT